TTGTCCCATTTGGCTTCTTTATTTTTTGCAGTTTCAATTTTAGTTCCAACATTCGATATCTGTTTTTTTTTTTTAAGTAATTTTTTCTTCGCTATGTTTAAGTTTTTCTTAGTCAATTTTTGCTTTTTCGTGGGCCTTTCTTGCATGGTTTCGCTCGATTGAATCAATAAGGACATCGGAAGATCATCACTTGAGTCGTGCATAGAAAAAGGTAAAGGGGTCATGTTAGAAGTCGACAGCTCAGACTCAATAGAAGAACATGTGGGTAGGTCAGCATTACTTGAATGTGCACCAGGTTGTGTGGTACTGTGTAAAATAACCTCCGCTTCGGCTTTCAACATTGCTGGACCCAAATGATTTATGTTTCCATCATGATCATCATCCGAATAATCGCTATCTACATCAGTTTCCTCTCCGTCTTGAGGTGGAGTAATGTAAATATCGGCAGAGTCAACATTTTCCTCTTCTAGAGCATATAGCAACTCATGTAGAGGCAATCTAAAATAATAATAATTTTTTAAGGAAATATAACCATTATGCATAATGTCCCTCAAAAGGGACTCCATTTTTAGGTGAACATTATGTCAATAGTGATAAACCTTTAGCCGCACTTTAAGTTCTACACGACTTAACAATGCTCCAAAAATATAATAACATGAGAAAAATTCGTTTAAAGATTATTTATTTAGATTTATTTAAAAAAGACTTACCCGCCGCGTCTTGTGCTGTACTGGCTTGGGTCCATCTTTTTGTTTATTAAGTAACACTCGATCAAAATCACTTTTTATGAGTAACCGCTATATGGGTTTGGAGCAAAACACTTTAACAATGATTCTTAGAGTTTTAGAGGTTATGTTAATTGTAACATTTGCGCGCAAAACTTAAAATTACTTACGTCCCCCAAAAGGGACACTATGCACTAATGGGTTAACTTGAAGTTTTAATTTAAACACGATAGATATGGCATTTTCAACTGTCAACTTGATGAATTATTTTCAGTTTTACAATATACAAAAATGATTTTAACAGGGTTGAAATGATTTTAACTTCATTTAGTCGCATTGGTCTGAAATTGTCTTGTTTCGATTGGCTAACACGTTGATTAAAACTTTCAATTCAAGCGTTATGAAAAAAATATTACCTCGCTACATTCAGGCCTTGGCTCAAATTTTCTTCTCCCTACAGCTCCAACTTGTTTAGCTCTAGTATGTCTTGTATGTCAGGTTCATTAAATTCATAAATATCAAAAGACGAATTATTTGAGTTGGTATCAGGTGTGACTTCTACCTCTTCGACTTCTTCCTCATTTATTAATTCTTGTTGTCCATTAAAAACCTTAAACCATTGTTAAGTTAATTAATGTAAGTATTAAAATCTTAATACTTAATACAATTGCATTGTGTTTTCGTTATTTTGTGTGAGGAATTAATTTATAATGCCAAACTGCGCTATGGCTAAATGTAACACTATAATAAATCTACAAAATCTACCAAAGAAGAAAATACCAAAATTTACAATTTTTAAAATGTAATGCAAATTTTTTAAGTTACATTTCTCTCGTAATAAAAATATTTATAGAATTAATAATATAACAGGGTGTTTCTACTCAAAGTGGACAACATAATAAAGGTAAATAATTATAGTCTGCACTTTTTTTTAAATAAATATTTTTCATGGGAGGTTTTATTGATATATTCTTTTAAATCTTTAACACAAAAATTGTAAATAGAAATTAAATTAAAATTACAAAAAAAAGTTTTTTTAAAACCGCCCATAAATAACTTAGATAAAAGGGTTTATGTAATAACAAAGTTTGATAATTCAAAAACAAAAGCTGAAATGAAGAATATTTAGTAGAAAAAAGTGTTACTCTTTATGTGATCTCTATTAGGTTGTCAATTTTTAGTAACAACACCCAAAACATGACAAAGTTTTATTATTTAAAAAAAAATCATCGTTTTTCTGTTATTCTTATTATTTAATAACAATAACAGAGAAACGATGATCATTTTTTTACGCTTTTTGCCTTTGAAAGTATAATTTTAAAAATACATTGACACAATGACTTAAGTCATTATGGACAAAGTAAAAATTCGTAGTAATACTGCCTAGCTCGTTAAACAATTTTCTCTTACAATCAGTTTTAATAAATCGGCCGTCATAATTTTAAATTTAATAAAATTCGAAAGCGCTCCCCAAAATTAGGCCTGTTGCTGTTGGAATTGTCAAACTTTGTTTTGTGTTGGAATGACTAGCTTCACTTTGACCATCCTCATGTAGATTTGGATTTTTTACATTATTTTTTAACCCAACTCCATGGCTAGTCATTGGTTCATTGTCCAAATTATTCAAATGCTAACTTCTACCCAATTTGTCATGCGACAAACTTTTAAGCTTTTCAGATTCCGTGTCTACACTTTTGCTACTCTTTCCACCAATGCCTGTTATGACTATGAAATACAATTAATAGTCATGAATTACCAAATAAAATTAGTTCAGTGATAAAAAAAAATTTTTACGCTATACTTACCAACGGTTTCAATACTACTTTCAATAGTACTTAATAACGTGCGAGGATCTTTGGGAAGCTTTGTTAAATCTTCTACTGAATCGACGTTGGAAAGCATTTTTAATAATGCACCACATGCAGCTTGACTAATATTATACTCACATTGCCACTGTGCTAATTTACTTTGTAAATTATCATTAGAATCTTTTACGTCAGGTCTTTTATTTAATTAAACATCAAAATTTTCTCCTAATTGAATATTATTCATATGCACTAAGTTAAACTCAGGAATACTTTCGTGGCCAATATTACCGTGATGATCACCAAGCTCTCGACTCTCCAATGACACAAAATCATCAGTAATATCATTACTAGCAATAGAATCATAAATAATAACAGCATCACTAAGTATTTTCTTATTAGTGATACCTGCATGACCAGAAGTATTTTCAGGATCATCAATAGTGAGAGATCTGGTATCTTCTCTTAATTCAATTGAAGCTGGAGAAAAAACTTGTTGTAGTGAAACTGATTCATCGTGAGCTACTTGCTTAAGACGCCTATTTTTTTGACTTTTTGATAATTCTTTAAAAGGCTTTCTTGACATCATTTATAAATATATTATAGACAGGTAAAAATTAAAAATATATTAATAAATTAAAATTCCAACATCGACGCAAAAGATTACTTACCATTACATTCAGGCGTAAAAAACAATAATGAAAAATGACCATTAAACAAATATAAATTGATTGAAATTAATCAAATTTAACACAATTATCTGTAATTATTCAATGTTATTATTGTAATTATTACAGTAATTATTTAATAAGAACCATATATGTTTATTGAAACTATAGTTTATATGTTAGGGCGCACTAGGAAAATAAATAAACACAAAATTAAAAATTATGCGCAAGCCTCAAACTGCGCATTAAAAATGAATCCATTAACAAGTACTTAATTCGACGTCTGTATTTTGACTTCTAAAAGAGATGATTTCAATTGGAAGTAAGAAAAAAGAATACTCTGTAAGCTCAAAATAAATTGTTCAAAAAAGTGAAGAAAAGATCTTCATTTGTACGTAAAAAAATTGACTTCTTATTTATGAGTTCATTAACAGCTCAGAATTCTGAGCTCATAAATAGGAGCTGTTTAAGACGTCATGTTAGAACTTCTACACGAAGTTGTTTAAAAGACTTCATACTGAAATCCTTCTGAATTGGATGATGACTGGGTTGTTGCCCAAAAGCCTTTTTTGAATAAAGATTATTATTATTATTATTATTATTGCTAAGCAAGCGCTCTGCAACCTGAGCCACACTGCCTATTGGCAAATATGAACATTATGGGAACTTTAATTTAACAAAATTTAATAATAAAGTTTTTTAAGTACTACCATAAGTAACCTTATTATTAAGTTTTATTTTATTATTTTAATGTGCTTCCAACAGGCACCAGGCCTTATTTCAGAAGTACACACTGACAAACATAAATAAACAGCCATACCCCTGGTGGGATTTGAACCCACAACCTCTCGGCTTGTGGTCCGCAGTCGTGACTACTACACCACCGAGGACAAATATAGGAACACTTGAGCATTAAAATACAACCCAACCTGCCTGAACTATTTAAAACCTTATTAATATTTTTTGTTTAATATAAAAATGCTTAGTTATTAATTGCAGTGTAATTAATTTAGCAAAATCTCCTTTCCTATTCATCACTGTGGCGGTTTAATAGCAATTTATTAATATACCGCCAGCATTTCAGTACTCTTTAAAAAAATAGGATAATACATTTTTATGGAATTAATTTCCCTAATAAAGTAATACAATGTTAAAATATAAAGTATTCAACCCAGAAATATCCTGTAATCTAACTAAATCAAAAAGTTGTTATCCAAACCTATTGTGTTTTGCCTAATGCTGACTCCCTGTTGCATAATTATAATGTATAATGTTTTTAATTGACTCGGAAAGACCATTGAACGTTTCTTGAGATATTTGAAGCACAATTGCTTGTGAAATATGAGGAATTTTTGGCTTTTTGAAAGTTTTGCTTGTTTGTTCCTTTATATGTTTTTCTAGAAAAGAGAAACGACCTGGAAAAATCAAAATACATTGCAGATTTGTCAATGATTGATCAAACGTATAAGAAATTAAGTAATAAGATTTAAAATACATTTTTTTGGTCGATCAATTGTTTTGTTCTCTGGCGAAGCGCTCAAACTTTCTGTATTAACAGCGGCATTTGCATATACTATAATTCTTTTTAATTCTTCTTTAATTTGAAAAGCAGCTTTTTCGTACTTGGTCTCATTGTAAAAACCAAAGCTTTTGAATCTTGGATCAAGAATTGTGCTAAATCTACAAAGAATTTTTAATTTGTGACGTAGTACTACACACGAGTGTATTTTGTCAAGTTTGTGATATAAGCTTACGCTACAACGTCTATGCTTTCATATTTGAGCAACCTGTCTTCCATCAATTTATAAATTTTTTTTTTGAAAATCCAGGGTGATTTTTGAAGAAAGTGTTTGAGTTAACGATTTTCCATTGATTATTGCTTCTTTTATAGAAGGAATAATTCTAGAAATCGTTACGTAGGTATCTCCGCCCAATTCTTCTGTCATGTCCACAAATGGTTTCAAGATTTCCAGAATCTCAGGGATGAGTTTGGCTTCTTGCGAGGTCAGGGGTTGCAATCCATTGTCTACATTGCTAAGAACGACAGCAATTGCGTCCTTGGCTGCATAAACGCTTTTCAACATGTAGTATGAAGAATTCCAACGCGTTTCGACAGACTGGATTAGTTTAACATCTTTCTGATCTCGTATGATCAATTCATTTGACAATTCCTTGATGGCGATTCCGCTTCGGTGAAAGAACGTAACGATTTGTTTACATTTTTTAAGGATAGAGTATACGGAAGTGTCAACACAGGTTTCGATAAAATCGTCATCGTCGATAATTCTGAAAGTTAAATAAAGAATATAAAGGTGTATAGGGATGTCATGAATAAAAGTTAAATAAATACCTGAATAGGTCTGTTTCTTCGACATCAATCGAACCTTTCTTCTCGTTTGTCTGAAGAATTGCAGCATTGATGACAAGTTGAATAGAATGCGCAATGCAGGGCAAGTGCGGTAGCTGTCAAATAAAATTTAATTTATGTTTACTTTTTCCTGATAAATACATAACATTGTACGTTTTCATTTTTTTGTTATCAGATTGCAATATACATCGCGTGTAGGTATGTACTCCCTAAGAATTGGAGTTCTATAACTTAAGAAAATTAAATCTTATGAGAAATTCAAAAATGTAAGATTTTACAATTCTTATAGACTATAAGAATTGTAAAATCTTACCTCTTTGAAATTCTCATAAGATTTAATTTTCTTGTCAAGTCGACCTTATAAAATAATAACTCTTATAAGAAATTGCAGAATCGTATGCGATTTTAAAAATTCCCATAAAAATACAAATTACTGGGACTTTTTACCTTCATGTGTTTGCACGTAGCGCTCATATTTTTCGCGTTATCCGTGACTGCACATGAGATTTTTAAATTTGGAAACTTGTCTGTCAGAAGTGTGTTCAAGAGAAGTTTTAAATCTGCCACCGTGGATCTGCCTGGAACCGAGATAACTCCCAATGTGGCCACTTTTAATACCATGTCCTCTAGAAAATGCCCTGTCACAGTAAGGTAATGCTGCATTGTTCTGCTTGACCAGCCATCAAAAGTAAGAGATATTTGGCTGTAAAAGGTATTTAAAAGTAAAAGGTGTACAAAATATATATTTTTAGATATTTTGACTAACCTTGTTCTTGCTAAAACACCAGACAGCACCTCGAGAATTTTTTCGTATGCTTCGGTAATCAATTTGTCTCGCAGAGTACGTCGACAGGGCAGGGAGTACCTAGGATCTAATTCAAAAATTAAATTTTTAAATCCTTCATCTTCCACTACTGAAAGTGGCTGCAAATCCTTTATTACGAATTTTGCAACTGCATTGTCTAGTGCTTTTTTGCGTTCAGATTTACCACTGTATGGAAGTTGACAAATACATTAGACCGCTGAAAGAGAGGTCTAATGTATTTGTCAACTGTCAACTGTCCTTTTCTTTTCCGATTTTTTCTAAACAGAAAAATTACTTAGTTATTATTAAAAATAAATTTATATGAATTTAAGTGATAAAGATAAATTTGAATAAATTATTATATAGGTAATTATTTCAAATAATTTAATTGACAAATAAAGTATTACTAAATTAAGTTTTATCTTTGATTAAAGATTCAATCATTTTGATATTCAACTTTCGCGCGCAAACCACCTCAATGTTGTAAAACATTTTTATAATCATTTACTACTATGAAATCATAGTGAAACTTTTTTATTAAATAAAAATAAATTTAAAATATACTATTCTAATAGTATTATTTCTCTTACTCAGTTATTGTTGAGACATTTTCTTCGTTGCTGCTCTGGCTCCCGCTTGAATTATTCCCAGTGGCTTTGTCCCATTTTTTCTGGTGATTCCTCTGCGAATGGTCTTTCAAATTCGTGGTGTTGTTAAAATTTGTTAAAAACCCACATTTGCATTTGGCTATTTCCCATCTGGATTTTGCTTAAAAAACAGCCACACAAGAGACCGTTTTGCCCGAGCTCGGATCCTGCATAGTCAATTTTTATGTTCTATTATTTTATTACATGTTTTGCTTTATTATTTATTTCATTTAATTATAATTATAGGTAGGTATACATACATAATATGTATTACAGACCAGAGCTGCAACAAGTCAGTTTTAAAAAGACTTAAATCTTAAGTCTTAAATCAATTCTAAAATCAAAATGATTTAAATCTTAAGTCAATTCTAAGATAAAGTTCAAATGATTTAAGTATTAAGTCTTTGAATTAAATCATTTTCTTTCAAGTCAAGTCATTTTCGCAAATTCTTAAATCAAATTAAAATGATTTAAATCTTCTTATGACTTAATTCCTTTAGTAAGTCGTTTTTATGACTTAAATCTATATTTTTTATTTAAATCGTGACAGAGTTAAGTCAATAAAATGACTTGAATCAAAAATTGTGATTTAAATCAAAATAATTACCCTTAAGTCAATACAACGATTTTTTAAATGTTAATAATAATTTTATGGTATTAATGATACTGATATTATTAATCTATTGTACTATCGCTAACAAAAAAAACTCATACAGCTATATTGTGGCTGTGTGAATAAAACTTTTCCGTCAATGTCAAGCTGACATCGAGCTTTGTCACATCCATTATGACTTTTTTAACAACATTTTCAACCAAACAATGCAGAAAAACTCTGGCAAGCCATTGAAGCCATTTGGAACGAGATAAAGCAAGACGGCGACTTCTATGCTTTGCCGTTTGCGGGCAGTAATTGACAAAAACAGAGGGATGACGAAATATTAATTTTTTTTTCAAACTTCAACCTAACTTTGTATTTAATTTTAGACCTTTCAAATGTGACGTATCATGTTAAAAGCCATAATTACTCCAACGAAATGATAAAAAATCAGGAACACTAGATTTTTAAGCTGTATGAGTTTTTTTTGTTAGCGATAGTAGATACAGATGATAATAAACCACTATGTTAAGAATTTAAAACGATTTATTTTCAAACTTAAAAATAAAATAAAAACTTAAAACACATTTTTTGAGTATATAGTAGACAATAAAAATAAAAACTTAAACCACCTTTTTTAGTAGAGTAGACATACAGGGATGCTACTTTTTTATATACATAAATGGGTAACTTCTAAACGGTAATAGATTCAAACTCTCTTAAAATAGATAAAAGTTGAAGCATTTTTCTTAAAATCGCTGTATTTCAAAAACTGATACCTAACTTGTTGTTTTGTTAACTTTTGTTAGCTGGTTCAACATCCATCTAGAACAAAAAATATTCCTCCCTTAAGAAAGTAATGATGGGAAGTTCCAAACTCTGGATTCACGACCGCTCAAGATGTACAACTGCTCACGACTGTAATAATTCAAGACTACTCACGTTCACGCACAATCACGTTTGAATAATTTTATTCACGCACAATCACGTTTTTTTGTCGTAATTATTTACTTAAACAAACCGAAACACCCTGTATGATGTAAACACGTCTTTATAATATTTATTCGTCCTTACAAGTTAATCGTTTGTTTCCACTAATAATCACAAATTAGACCTAACTTCGCACGAACACGACGAATGTTGGCAAACAAAATAACAAAAATATAAATCCGCAATTTTTTTAATTCATTTTAGACAGAACATTTTTTAATGTAGCCGTGGCAATTGTAGGTAGGAAATTAAAGGAGTTTTTGATCTGCTGCCGCGTGAACCCCTGGCAGTTCAAGAAAATGCCGCTGTAAAAAATTTATAAAAAAATCTATGAAAAATCTGACTTAAATATTTTCTAAAAAGACTTAAATCTTTTTTTGACTTAAATCGTTTTTATCTGACTTAAATCGTATGTACTGATTTAAGCCTTTTATTAATGACTTAAGTTTTTTCTATTTTGAAAAAAATATTTAAGTCACAAATCATTTTGAAAATTAATTAAATTTTAAGTCTTAAGTCAGTTTTAGAGAAATGACTTATTACCAAATAACTTAAGTCATTAAAAAGATTTAAATCAAAAAAACGATTTAAGTTTTCTGATAGCTTGCAGCTCTGTTACAGACAAGAAAAGTACCACAACTTAAAAATTGTAATTTTTGTAAGTACCTACTGGTAAATAAGTGTGTTCAAAAATGATTAATTTTTATTTAAAATGATTATTTTGAGAATATTTAAAATACTTTTCTTGTGTACTGTCGATATATACTGGGTGGTCCAGTTTATATTATCAGAATTTCACCAGCTAATAATTTATCGAAATGACGATATAAACTGGACCACCCTGTATATGTTTCTATAAAATTCACACAACAAACTTACTGAAGAGTTACAGGAGCACTGACATTGGCATTAATCTGTGGCTGAGATTGTCCACTTTTACTTTGTTTTGAAAATTGCAAAATAGTTTGGTTATTTCTTGGAGAACTTTTTTCTTACTGCATGTTTTAACACCAGAACACAACACTCAACACCATAGAAAACACAACACTCAGTGTTGAACACTGTTAAAAAACACTGGTTTAGAGAATAGAGATAAAGCAATCCACTTGAACCCACTTGAATCCAGAAAATTCTGGTAGAATTTTTACTGTAGAAGTTTTTTAAAGTTGTCTCATAGATGGAGCTATATATTAACTAGCTCCATCTATGAGACAACTTAAAATACTGGGTCGGTAAGTCAGGAATTTCCAGAAAAAAAGTTGTTGGTAAATAAGTATTTGTTTGTTTTGACAAAGTAAGATTTTTACAGTTATTTTGAAAATTTCTTCAAGTAGAAATACCAATTAATATCAGTAACAACACCACCTTACTGATACTTATTGATATTTGTCCTTACTGATAACTATTAGTAATTACTGATAGTTTTCCCATCCCTACTTGCTACTCTTTTTTGCTCCATATTTAGCAGCTACCAACGATATACGGATACAATTTTTAGGTTAGTTTCAGTTTAAAATTTAGAGCATTGCACAAGCAAAGCTAGTTGCCCTTAATTAGAATTAAACAACTTACCTCTTTAAATCTTTTTTCCGTTGAAAAAGTAATTTAAGCACAGAACTATTATGTGATTTAAGTGCCACATTACCAACTAGCCAAACGAAAAGTTACCAAAAAAAGGAACATTCTTAGCGTTAGCATACGTTTCGCGATTGCGGCGTTGCCAAATTAACATTATGTAGATAATTTTAATTCAATTAAAATTATGTACAGTATAATTTTAATTCTAGAAATTAAAATTATATTAAACATCATTTTAATTCCAGCAATAAAGTTATATTCTACATCGTTTTAAATACTTGAAATAATATTACCATAGGAAAACATTGCAAGTTAACATAAGATTTAAATAAAAATTATAATATTTATAGACGTATTAAAAATAATTTATTGAATTAAAATTCAACATCAACACCTTTCCAATATGTAGTTATTTTTTGTAACAATTTTTATTATATTATTCTCCATGATGTTGAATAAAAATTGTGTTGTTAAATGGTAAAACGGCTTGCCATAATGTATCTTTGGGGGAGTAAATTTGATTTTACTGTATTTCTCGCAGGAAGTTTATAGCGTTTGTCTAACTTGTTAACCAAACATTTAAACCATTGGTCATTAACAATACTAAATGGTTGCATATCAATTGCTATCATGTGAATTAAACATTTATTTAGTTCTAGTTTTCTAGGATCGTCTCTGGTATAAACGTTTTTGTAAGAAATACATTCTTCAAGTGTCTGGCTTCTCATTTTTCTCGGTTGCAGATAAGTATCGGTTGTCTGAGTCTCAAAAGCATTCCTATCATCAGTGTGTCGTTTTCGGATTTGTGATTGATTTGTTATATTATGAGCCCTTTTAAGGTGATCTCTTAAATTAGAGGTATTTCCGCTTGTTCTGTATGTTTTCCTGCGTTTAAAACAGGTTGCTATTCCACTGTTAGCTTCCTCCTTATAAAAATGCTTCCATACAAATGAATTAGTATTCATTGATGCCATAATAATTAGATTTACTTAAAGTAATCACTAGTAATTAATCAGTCTTATAAAATAAAAATAACTAAAATTAAGTACAAAACATTTCCTAACCCTAACCCTACTTCTGACTTCTTCTTCTTCTTCTCTTGCCATTATTCTGGCTAGAAGAAAAAATAGTTTTGGCTTATCTAACAAACTGTCATTTGAATGTCAGTTAACACCAAGGATTTTACACACAACAGGATGGTCCAATCAGTGCTATAAAATTTTCCGGTATACGATGACGTAGTAGGTTACCCACGCGCCGCTTCAGAATCATTCCGTTTGTGAGAGTGAGTATATCTTTCGTTGTTATTGTGTTAAAAGCATTCGTAAAGTTATTTCTGTGACAATAAAATAATACCAGTAGTATTTATTGATGTGTTTAAAGTTATATTGGACTAATTAAAGTGTTTTACGTGTTGTATATGATAATTTAAGGTTTGTATACAAAAATGATTCTTTTAATATTGACGCCATGACAGGCAGGTCCGTAATGCATTATTCTTAAATGTTCTGCATATTTCCATGACGTATTAAACACTAAATTTTGTTATTTATATGTTATAAGTATTTATTATTAATAACACTAGGCAACAAATTTTAACTTAAAAAAAAAGGTCATGGTTAAAAATAGAATTTTTAGATTGTTTATGACTGAAATAAATCCAAAATGTTTTTAAAAAAAATTTCTGAAGTCGGAAATAAAAAATAGGAGCACAGTATTTTGGTACCATTTATTGCATATATGCATGCATGTATCTATAGATACACCATTTGAAAATTTTAGGATGACGTTACTTTTAACTTATATTTCAGCATTCCATGAACAACATATCTGTACATATTGTAAAAATTTAAGGCATGTTTTTTTGATGTTTACTGTTTTTTATCGTTCGAATTATTTTGTTTACTTATTTTTATCGTTATTATTTAACAATTTTTCTTTGTATCATGGTGCTGCCCGTATCGTCTAAACGAGACTTTGGAAAATTTTTTGGTCGCCGGATTTGCGTCGAGCAGGTGAAAATCTATAGGACTGTGCTATTTTTATTACCGACCTTTTTTATTTACTTATTTTTATCGTTATTATTTAACAATTTTTCTTTGTATCATGGTCCTGCCCGTATCGTCTAAACGAGACTTTGGAAAATTTTTTGGTCGCCGGATTTGCGTCGAGCAGGTCAAAATCTATAGGAGTGTGCTATTTTTATTACCGACCTTTTTTATTTACTAATTTTTATCGTTATTATTTAACAATTTTTCTTTGTATCATGGTCCTGCCCGTATCGTCTAAACGAGACTTCGGAAAATTTTTTAGGCGCCGGATTTGCGTCGAGCAGGTCAAAATCTATAGGACTGAGCTATTTTTATTACCGACCTTTTTTTATTGTTTACTAGTGTAATTATAATTTATAACTAATATCATGTATTATGTATTATTATTATATTTTAATTTAATTATGATACAAAAATAATTATTTAATACATAGTATATGCAAAAAAAAATTATTATGAATAAATTTAAAAATAAAAAAATTATTTAAATATTCCTAAATAATATTTTAAAACATTATTAAATTAATAATAGCATATTACAAAATACCTATACAAAAGGCCATTGTAATATGAATTGTGTGTATAATATATTAGCCAAACTATCTATATTAAAACAAAATAATTTATTTTTAGCATTATCATACCACATAGTTGCTTCATAAGTGGGTGCAAAACAAACCAATTTGTTGCCAAATCCCAGGGTTTCATTCTGCATAGCTTTCCAAAAGGGTCCAACTTGGTTTCTTCAACGTTGAGGGAGGAATGGCTAAAACGTTGCAATAATTCCAAAATATTTAACTGCAAATCGCATTATGTATGTTCTAAACATTTAAATCCCAATGATTATGAAGGAGATTTGAAAAATGAATTACTAGGTTTGTACATTAATTATTTTTTTAAATGTACCTAATTAAAGGAGCAATCTCCCATCTTTTTACTAGGCTTGAATTTCCCCTACTAATTTATGTTAATAATTATTTATCTTTTAGAAATCCCCCTGCGCAAAATTCTAAAGAAAACAGCTGTCCCCAATTTAAATTTACCTGAATGTAGAAGTTCAGATGACGATAAACCCAAAAGAGGCCCTTTAATTCTTAGCAAAGGTAACAAACCAAGACCCAAGTAAAAGCTCATACCAAAAAAGAAGATGACAATAATGTAGCAATAGGTGAAGTTTTAGGAAAAACATCAGATCACTTACCCAACAATAATCTAACAAATGAATTAGAAGTATGTAAGAAAGAATTATTGCACAAACTATTTATAATAAACAGCTTGGTGAATATAATATAATAAAAGAAAAAAATAACAATCTAAAAAACTTGTTACTTATCACAAAAAGAAGGATTTTTCCAAGTTTGAAAAATTTGAAGCTGCCAAAAGTATATTGAAAAATATACCAAAAACCAAATAAATTTGATCCTTTAAAAGAAAAAGAGGATGTTAAGCGTTTCAATTAATGTAAAATATTATATAAGTTTGTACTTTGTTGAAGAGCGCATGTGCGCATTCCCCTCCAATGTAAAATTTTATGTAATAGGTGCACACGTAATAGTCTGATATAATTTGTTATACAATCAACATCGAGAATAAAACACAAAATATTATAATAATTAATTTTAATTCAAATCCAAAACCAAGTCGCAGTTTATAACACAACAAGAGAAAATACCCAGGATTTCCTATAGATCCTTAACATTGGTCCTTCGAACCGGATAATCGATATTTTTGAAAATCCAACCACGTGGAAGATCCAGCAACGAGGTCCAGCGCATAATTCACGAGGTCCACCGCGTCTTCCATCAGTCCACGTCCCTACCCAGAGGTTTGCAAGCCAGAATATCATTTTTTGGGAAAAATCTAACCACACCAGGCCACGAGGTAGCCCATGTACCGTCAAAAGTAAGTCCATTCCATCATCCATCCAGTTCTCCCATTTTACCATTTGCTTCAACTTGTGCAATTTATACAATTTGTTTAAAATTATATAAATAATTAATTTCATTCATAAATTTAAAGTAAATAGTAATTTTTTTATTTAATTTTTTACCTTCATTCATTCATACAATTTACAATTTCGTTGCTATACAGGCTGTTTCATTTTTTACATCTTACATAAATCTTAACATTTCATTATTTTTCAATTGCTAGTTATCTTGTTTTGCAAATATGACTGATATTAAAGCTTTAGCACAAAGACGAGGTGTTATTAAGGGGTCTATCACCAGAATCGAGACATATCTCAAAAACCCTGATAACTGCAAAGTTTTTTTTATATAAGCGTACGTATACGAAAATTAAATGAAGCATTTAACGAATTCAATCTTATACAAACGGAAATTGAATTGGTTTCTCAAGATGACGAGTCTGAATATAGAATAGCCATAGAAGAAAAATACTATGAGTTAGCAGCACATGCCGAACGTCTTCTAAGCTCTATCACATCATCAGAAACCAGTTCAAAGGAAGCTAATATAAGATTACCACGAATTAGCCTACCTGAATTTTCTGGTCAATATGAAATTTGGTTGAGCTTTCACGATACCTTTAAAGCATTAATCCACACTAACAACTCCCTCACCAATATTCAAAAATTTTACTATCTTAAGTCTGCTCTTAAAGGTGAGGCGTCAGGTGTCCTTAAGGCTCTTGAAGCAACAGACGCAAATTATGACATTGCTTGGAAAATGCTTCAGGAACGGTATCTAAACAATAAAATAATCATATACTCACACATAAAAAATATTGTTGAACTGCCTAAAGTAACAAAGGAATCACATGTACAATTGCGAAAATTACTAGACAACTTTTTAATTTATTTTAGATGCCTCCAATCTCTAAAACAACCTGTAGATCAATGGGATACATTATTAATTTATTTACTAGCTACAAAATTAAGTACTGAAACTCGAGTAGAGTGGGAATCAGAAACAACAGCATCTGAACTCCCAACTCTAACAGAATTTACAAAATTTCTCAATGAAAGATGTCAACTTTTAGAGACTATTGAAACTAAAAATGATAAAACTTTCGTTAAATCATACTCACACGTATCAACTAATGAAACAAATCATAATCAAAATATCACTTGTAAATTTTGTAAGGGTTCACATATCATTTTTTATTGTCAAAAACTATTAGCACTTGATCCCAAGCAACGTTTTAATGAAATAAAAAGACTAAATTTATGTCTAAATTGTTTAAAATCAGGACATTCCACTAATTCATGTTTTTCTGGTTCATGCAAAAAATGCGGTAAAAAACATAATACGCTTTTACATATTGAAATTTTACAAAACTTAAATCATAATTCTAACATTAACCGTAGCATGCAACCCCAAAATAATAACTCCACCACCTCAAATAACGAACAAAATCAAAATCTTATATATATATAATAGGGATTCGTCTGGACGTTTCGTTGTTTGCCATTTAAATCAAATTACAAAAAATTAGGTTCAAATTTAGAAAATGCAAATGGACCTGATACAAGCCATCCTAATTTTGATTTTTGCAAAATTATATTATTGTTTAATTTTATTTGACCCACACACAGCAAGTCAAAAAATATGCCCGAGCCAAGTAATAAGTCTACCTGAGTCGGAATGTTGAAGTTTGGATCTGCAATAGATATGTTGTTTGGAATTTGTATAAATGTTTTTTCAAATGAAACTGATGGTATAGTACCTGTGATTTTATCGAGAATTAAAAATGATATGTTGTTTTTATATGCATTGACCACAACTATGGGATGAACCCAATCTGTTGGTTCCTCTATCTTTTCTATGATGTTTAACTTCTCCATATTATCCAACTCCTCTTTTACTGCTTTTTGAAGGGCTATTGGAACTCTCCTACACCTTGCTATAACAGGTATTGCATTTTCTTTAAGTTTGATGTTATATTTTGTTTTGGCACATCCC